ATGGGAGATGTATGCTGAAAGTAGACTATAGACCGATCGTGACTGCCACAGAGGCGGGGTAGGGTGCGGGGGCAGGGGGGGAGGTGGGAGGATACTGGGATGGTGGAGAATGGGCACTGGTGGAGGGATGGGTACTTGATAATTGTATAACTGAAACCCAAGCACAAAAACTTGTAAGTCTACAACTGTACCTCATGGTGTTTCACTAATAAAAATTTTTTAAAAATCATTTATTTCCAGATAAAATCAAAAAAGAAAAACATCATGTAATTTCACTTATCTGAAGGAAGTCCATTTATAGAAAGAAAATGATGATTATCAGGGGACTAGAGAAAGAGAAGAATGGTGAGTTTAGCACTGTCACTGTAGCACTGTCCTCCTGTTGTTCATTGATTTGCTCGAGTGGGCACCAGTAATGTCTCACAACAAATTGTGAGACTTGCTACTGTTTTTGGCATATCGAATACATCATGGGGAGCTTGCCAGGCTTTGCCATGCGGGCGAGATACTCTCAGTAGCTTGCTGGGCTCTCTGAGAAGGGCAGAGGAATCGAACCCAGATCGTCCGCGTGAAAGGCAAACACCTTATCCACTGTGCTATCACTCCAGCCCCTTCAGCCACACCAAGCAATGCACAAGGTTTCTTCTGGCTCTGCACTCAGGAATTACTTCTGGAAGTGCTTGAGGGACCACATGGGATGTTGGGGGTTGAATCTGTTCAGCAAATATCCTACCCACTGTACTATCACTCTGGCCTCAGTGAATTATATAATGGATTATGTTTCAGTTTGGGATAAGGAAAAAGTTCTGAATATAGGGATGATGGATTATCAATATATTTAATGCCATTGGATACTTAAAAATTTTAGGGGGGGGGCTGGAGCAATAGCACAACATGTAGGGCGTTTGCCTTGCACGCGGCCGACCCGGGTTTGATTCCCAGCATCCCATATGGTCCCCTGAGCATGGGCAGGGGTAATTCCTGAGTGCAGAACCAGGAGTAACCCCTGTGTTTCGCCAGGTGTGACCCCCCCCCAAAAAATAAAAATGAAATAAAATAAAGGTGATGTGCCCGCTTCTCTAAAAAAAAAAAAAATTAGGGGGGAGGACATAACCATCCATACTCAGGGCTTATTTCTGGCTCTGCTCTCAATGATCACTCCTGATAGTGCTCAAGGTAGCATAGAGGATGCTGGGATAGAGCCTGAGCTAGCCACATACGAGGCAAGTGCCTTTTTCATTGTACTTTCTACCTAGCCCAAAAATATATTTAACCACTATAAAAATATTTAAGCACCCAATACACACATACACTGTATCAATGAATGTATTACTTAAATATTGTTATTGTGGTTAAATATATATGCATAAATAACGTATGATTAATATAAATGTATAGTGATGAAACAGTATCACTGTATCACTGTCCTCCCGTTGATCATCGATTTGCTCGAGCGGGCATAGTAACATCTCCATTGGAGACTTTGTTGTTACTGTGTTTGGCATATCGAATACATCACGGGTGGCTTGCCAGGCTCTGCCATGCGGTTGAGATACTCTCGGTAGCTTGCCGGGCTCTCCGAGAGGGGTGGAGGAATCGAACTTGGGTCGGCCATGTTGGCTGCGTGCAAGGCAAACGCCCTTCTGCTGTGCTATCGCTCCAAACCACCTACATTAAATTGGGAATAGTCAGGATCTTCGGATGAATCAAAAACTTTTTTTAACTGTACTGGGACTCCTGGGTATGACAGTGATCATCAAGAGCCACATTTAAGACTAGACTTTATTAGAAATGCACTTTTATATTGGGCCTATTTTCTTCAAATCATCTTGTTTCTTTTTATTTATTTTTTACCTATTTGAAGTCTATATTTAATTAAAATGGCATTAGAAAGAACACCTTCAGAAAAATCACAAAGACAAATAGCATAACAAATGCCATTACTTGTTCTTATTGCTTTATATCATTAAAATATCTTTTTATTTTTTTACCATGACTGTATGATGCTTCCAACGGTGTTTCAGTATTGTCTTTCTCCTGGTACTCTATCCTAAAAGTGAAAAACCTAGATGTTTCAGGTACTGGCTCTCATCAAAGGATTATTTTGTCTCACAGAAAGTACTTGGCAATGTCTGAAAACATTTGGGATGATGACACAAAGGGATACTTGTATCTAGTAGACATAAGCCAGAGATGCTGCTAAATATTCCACAATGTATAAAACTGCCTCTCACAGTAAGAGTGAACTAAAATGCCAATAAATGCTAAGACTGAGAAACCCTCTTCTAAGATTTTACTAATTTGCTTGATTTCAAGTAGAAATTGATGACAAAAATTATCTTCCTTATTTTCTTTTTTGCTTTTTTGGGTCACACCCAGCAATGCTCAGGGGTTACTCCTGGCTCTGAACTCAGGAATTCCTCTGGGTGGTGTTCAGAGGACCATATGGGATACCAGGGATTGAACTTAGGTCAATTGCATGTAAGGCAAACACCATACCTGCTGTACTATAGCTCCAGACCCTCTTTCCTATTTTATCTATTTTTCAGAAGGAAAATTTAAGCATATATCTTTAAGGTAAGCATATATATTTTTTTCTTTTTGGGTCACACCCGGCAATGCACAGGGGTTACTTCTGGCTCTGCACTCAGGAATTACTCCTGGCGGTGCTCAGGGGACCATATGGGATGCTGGGAATCGAACCCAGGTCAGCCATGTGCAAGGCAAACGCCCTACCCACTGTGCTATTGCTCCAGCCCCAATAAGCATATATCTTAAAGAGAAGTCTTTCTTGTGCAGCAAACAAGCTAAGTGTAACATTCTGATGTCAAGGAAAGTAAGAAGAAATTAACTTATGTCATTTTTTTCACCCTGGCCAATCCTACCTATGAAACGCTATGCCATGGGTAAACTAAAAGAGGATGTAATCATCTCTTTAGTTGTGTGCTCTTTTGGGGGACAGAAACAACAATTTTAAAAAGTCCAAGGGGCTGGAGTGATACTACAGTGGGTAAGACATTTGCCTTGTGCACGGTCAATATAGATTCCATCCCAGTCATCCTATATAGTCCCCCTAAACACTACTAGGAATAATTACTGAGTGCAGAGCACCATTAGGTGTGACTCTTTAGGTTCCTGAGCATCACTAGGGTGGTCAAGGTAATCCCCAAGCTCACAGGATTGAAGGAGCACATCCTTGGGCCTCTGTACTAAACTGCAGGCCCACTGGCAAGAATCTCTGAGGGGGCACTCTGTGCCTGAGTACTACTTGCAAGACACCCTCACATCCCAAAACACACACACACACACACACACACACACACACACACACGCACAGAGTTGGATAATCCTTCCTGATGGCCATTTGAGTATGAGATATCAATGTATGCAAGTACTTTTACAACAAAAAATAACTCACTTAAAATTCAAATCATGAATTTTTCACAACTAAACATACTATTTATAAACTCAACATGTTATATATGATTAATTTACATTTAAACTATGAGGAGCATTAATCTAATGAGTGAACAACAGTACCATATCAGTACCAAGAATACTTTTGCTCCCTCCCTTTTGAATATTAAATAAAAAGAGAAATGTTACAGAAAGTATATAATAAATGCATTTTGGATATATGAAAAATAGAATGTTATATAGCAATGAACACGAATACATTACAAACACTTCCAACAATACGCAAGAACCTAATTTTGATAAATAGAAGAATACTCTCAAAACCTATCCAGGACCTATTCTCTGAACTTGTGAGTGTTACCTTACGAAAAGACTTTTGAAAATGTGATTAACAATATTGAGATGGGAAGATTATCCTGAATTATCCATGTGGGCTCTACACACTCAGGTATTTCTACAGAAGATGATATGATGACTAAAGCAGAGGCTTGTACATAGAGGATGGGACCACAATCCAAGGAAAAACAGGTGGCCCCTAGAAGCTGAAAAGGACAAAGAAAAAGACTATCTGATAACAACCTTCCAATATAGGAACTTTAATACCTTGACTTTTGTCCAATGAAACTGTGAGTTCTAATCTTCAGGGCTGCAAGAGAATACATTTGTGTTGCTTTGAGTCATTAAGTTTATGGTAATTTGTTACACTGGAACTAGGAAATACATATATTCAGCAAATGAAATATAAGCAAAAAAAGTATACTGTGTATGACTGCAGTTTCATAAACTGAAAGACAGGCAAAATTAAACTATAGCGTTTAGAAGTTAGAATAGTTACTTCCAAAAAGGAAGAAAAAGATACTGTTATGATGAAGGGCTCTGCCTTTTAATGCTATCTTGATCTGAGAGTTGGTGATCTAAATTAACTTTATAAAAACACTTATCTGGGGGCTGGGGCGATAGTACAGTGGGTAGGGCGTTTGCCTTACATGTGGTCAACCCGGGTTCGATTCCCAGCATCCCATATGGTCCCCCGAGCACCGCCAGGAGTAATTCCTTAGTGCAGAGCCAGAAGTAACCCCTGAGCATTGCTGGGTGTGACTCAAAAAGCAAAAAAATAAAAACAACATTTATCTGTTTACTGTTCTGCATTTGCAGCTTAAAAAGTGCTTTTTCAACACTTGTCTGATACTCTGCTAAAAAAGACATGTTAAGGGAGATAGAGAAAATACTTAACTAAACAATAACTATTTCTCAATTAGTCTAACAATTTTGTTTCTCGCTTCAAAATATTTCAAAAATTGTAACAATGGATCAATTACAAATAACTTTTAAACAGTAAAGTTTAAGCTGAAAGTAGAACAATGCTTAATTAGCTTTTCTTTGCCTGGATCATATGACTATAAGTGCTAAAAACATAAATACTACCAGATTTTCTGAAGGGGGTAAAAAATAAAGAAGAATGTCAGGTACTATATAACAAATGACCAAAATGTCTTCTGAGTCTTTAAGATTCCTAAAACTAGGAAGAATGAAAATAAAAGAAATCTGCCATCAATCTGTTTATATTATTAAATATAAAACAATTTATAAAACATCAGAATTTTATTGCTTGAAGAATACAGCATATGAAATCACAAGAATGTCAAAATGAGAAGTCACTGGCTTTTGAACATGTAATACATCAGATGCAGTAAAATATTAATTAACCTGAACTCTGCATCAGAAAAAAAAGTGTGAAAAAATATCTAAATTATTTACTTAAGAAACAGATAAACTTACTATAGAAAGTATAAGATGTTACAGTACAAATTAGAAAATCCAATACTTATTAATTTATCATTTCTTCAACTAGACTACCTTTGGTACTTTTAAAAAAAATCTCTTTTATCTTATCCAAACTCACTGTATGAACACAGTATCAATTTCAACTTAAAACATAGAAACTGAAAATGTTCAGCAAGATGAACTTTTCATGGCATGGGAAAAGTGTAATTTATAAATATATGACAATATTTTGCTTTTTCTAAAACTGAAAAATATCATCATTAATAAATCTAGTATTTATAAGCTTTACTTACTTAGCCCTCAATTAAAACTGGAATTCTGGCAGTCAATCTATCCTTGGGCTTGGTGAATATAGAAATTTAAATGATTTGGCAACTAACAGGAATTTGGATTACTGCAAGTAGCTTTTCCATTCTATTTTCAAAATAAAAATAATATGTCATCAACACACTGGATTCCTATAAAAATCACTATCAAACTTTATTTACTAGAACCAAATTAAAGCTTCTCCCTTTTAATGAGCAAGTTGAAACTATGTTTCATATGAGGCTGATCAGTTATGACACGTTTCTTAAACAAAACTAATCACTTTTAAAGCTATTACTCAATTGAGATAGAGACAATAATGCCATTTCAAAAGGAAGCATTGGACCTCTGGGCAATCTAGTCAAGAAAATGTAAAATGCAAAACAAAAACAAAAACCCCACTAAGTAAACTACAACTACAAGTTAAATTACAAAAATTCTTTCTAACAAGCATGCTTATTAACTATTTCCATTTCTTTCTCCAGCAAAGGTCTTAATATTCATAAACCTTAGTTCAAACCAACAGAACCCTGAACAATTGTTTCACAAGTTCAAAAACACATGGGTGGACTAAGCAAGTAATACTATTAACAATTAATGGAGTGAAACAGTAAGAATCACGACAATCCTCAAAATTGGGCCGTCTTTGAAATGAAATAATGTTGCTTGATGAATTATGCCATAATAAAACTGTAGTTTTCACCTCTACATAAAATAAAAATAAAATGAGAAACCCACCAAACTTATGTAACTACTATGAACATACTCCAAATTAGTTTTTGAATGTCTTGTTCTCATACTTTTTAAATAAGTATATCTGAGCATATATATTTTTCTAAAGCTATACTCATTTTAAAACACAAAAAAAATTCAGATACTCAGAACCAAACTCTTCTTTTTTTGCCAACCCAATCTAATGACTACTGCATCATATGATACCCCACCTCCCCCAGTAATTTAAAATTCCCAATTCTTAGGTCAGTTAAAAGGGTAGAGGAAATGCAAGTGCAGATTTAGAGTTTCTGTATAAATTTTTCTATTTTTATAAACTTGAAGTTTTCTGTAACACTGTTTATTGATCAAATAAAGAATTCACTGCTATCTAAAATTTCATAAACACCATTAAAAATCCAAAATTGGTATTATACTGAATCTTAAATTTTCAGTAGTTCAAAGAGACCATTTTTACATGAACAGCACACAATAGATGAACTTAACAGCAGACATCCCTAGAATACCAATGGCAAGTCCACCAAGATGCATACAAAATTACAGATAAGCATTTCTTTCACTGTTTTCTTGTGCAAGGAAAAAAATAGAGGAAATAGGAACTCAGCTGGTGAATATCAGATATCATCATCATCTTCTTCATCCTGAGAAGATCCTGCTTGGTTGGATGCACTGGCTGAGGCAGCAGCAAGCTGGGCTTGTTGGGCAGCCTGCTGCATTTGAAGCCATTCCTGTTGGGCCAATTCTGCTTGCTGTTGTCTAGCCTAAACACACAACACACACACACACACACACACACACACACACACACAAAAAAAGAAGTCATTATAAAAATAAATAACAATTAAAAAAAAACATACAACATATACATATTGGCTAAAGACAGACTGGTTTAATCTTAAACCAATTAGAATCGTTATCAAAATCTGGCTATTTTTCAGTCACTGCAATTGTTGTATACCTAAAATACATAAATGCTATAATATAACTCCATATCCCCAACACAACATATGATCTCCTGAGCCCTGCAGTTACTTCTGGGCCAAGAAGATAGCTCAAATGGCTAAAGCACATGTTTTGTGTGTGGGAGACCCAGGTTTAATCCCTAGCTCTGCAGGGTCTCCTGGAATCAAAGTGGGAGGAGCCTCCAAGTGCTATGGGATATAGTCTGTAAATCTAAATATGTAAAATATTAAAATGTAGAATATAAGAATTTAACACATTCATACATCAATTCCATATTTATTCTAGAATAAAGACACTTATCCAGGTAAGAAGGTTTAAATTTACCGATTTGATATATATGCTATAAAAACAATAGGATTTTGGAAACCATATGAGACACACTCCTGTTTCTCAATTTGAATGCACAGTTCCAACAGTTATGAGTCCTTCTCAGTTGAATTTTAGTCATCAGCAAAGAAGAAAAATCTGAAGCTCTTCTTGAAAACTATGCTCTCCCATTAGATCCTGCCAAAACAATGCTGTTTTGAGATCTTTTTAGAGTTGTTTTACACCTGCTCAGATCATCTTTCAGACAATTCTTATGTCATAATTTAAAACACTAATCAGATTGGGGCCAGAACGATAGTAGAGTGGATAGGGCCTTTGCCTTGTATGTGACCAACCCGAGTTTGATCCCCGGCATCCCATCTGGTCCACCAAGTACCGTCAGGAGTAATTCCTGAGTACAGAGCCAGGAGGAACCCCTGAACATCGCTGGTGTGACCCCCCTTCCCCCCTAAAAAAAACCAAAACACTACTCAGTTTGCTTTTCTTGACTCTTGTCTAGATTATATTTATACTCTATCTCATTATTTTTTTCTCTCACTACGTATCTTTTTTCCTCTAATAGATTTAAGAAGAGAGATGGTTTTCCTATTCACTATTACATTCCCAACGCAGTCATCCAGTATTTTCTGAATAAATATTTTGTGTGAATACAGTGATTTTTCTCCCCAAATTTTATTTTATTAAAACAAGGTGAATTACAAAGTTATTCACATCTGTGTTCTGACATACAATGTTCCATCACTGACCCTGCCACGAATGTCAACTTACCTGCATCAGTGTTCCCAAGTTCCATCTCCTACCTGCCACCCCAGCCCCCAGCCTGTCATCTTGACAGGAATCTTTTACTTTTGGTTATTAAAGTTTGGGTCTCATGATTTCAGTATTATTGACTCTGTGGTTTGGATATTTAGCTCTATCATTCCTTAACACCACCAATGTACCTGAATCCCCTTGGCCCCTGTTCCCGTTGCTTCTCATCTATTTCTTCTCTCCTTCCATTTCACTCTATTTCTTGCCTTTTCTTCCATATACTTTGGGACCAAGGAATTTCTAGTCATTCCTACTTTAAACCCTTGCATTTCTTCATCTAATTAATCTGAATATCACAGCAGGTAGGGCGTTTGCCTTGCACATGGCCAACCTCTCCGACCCAGGTTCAATCCCTCCACCCCTCTTGGAGAGCCTGGCAAGCTACTGAGAGTATCGTACCAGCACAGCAAAGCCTGGTAAGCTACCTGTGATGTATTCAATATGTCAAAAACAGTAACAAGTCTCACAACGGAGACGTTACTGGTGCCTGCTCGAGCAAATCGATAAACAACGGGAGGACAGTGCTACAGTGCTACCATATATAAGTGATATCATCCTGTGCTTTTCCTTCTTGATTTACTTTATTTGGCATTTGACATGGATTTACTTCATTTGACATGGATAAAATCTAAGTTTTACCCATGTTGCAGCAAATTGCAGGATTTCATCATTCCTTGTAGCTGTGCAGTATTCCACTGTATGCATATATATGTATATCTATATATCTATATCTATGGATAGGGTACTTGCTTGTAGTGGATTGTAGGAGAATTTGAAATATATCTATATAAATATATATATATCCACTATAGTGTGTGTGTATATATATATATATGTATATATTTATAACCTCGGAGAGCCCGGCAAGATACCAAGAGTATTCGATATGCCAGACACAGTAACAACAAAGTCTCCAATGGAGATGTTACTGGGCCCGCTCGAGCAAATCGACGATCAACGGGAGGGCCTTTACTTTACTTACTTATTTATATCCACTACCATATACAGATATAAATACCACATCTTAATGACCCACTGAATTATTGCTGGACATCTACGTAATTCCAAATCTTAGCTACTGTACTGAGTGCTGCAATGAATAATGGTTAGCATATGTCCTTTTGAATGAGTGTTTTCCTGCCCTGGGGAAAGATACCCCAAAGTGGAATTGCTGAGTCCTACAACAGCTCAATGTTAAATTTACTGGAAACCTTTCATACTTTTTTCCATAGGGGTTGAACCAGACAACATTCCCAACAGCAGTGGATGAGAGTTCCTTTCCACCACATACTCTGCCAACATAGACTATTCTCATTATTTTTGATATGTGCCATTCTCACTGGTTTTGATACAGAACCTCATTGTTTTGATTTGGATTTTCCTAATAAGTGATAGTGAGCATTTTTTTATATATTCCTGTTGGCCATCTATTAGAATTCCTTGCTCATTTCCTCTCCCCATTTTCTGATGGGGTTTCGGGATTTTTTTGGTTGCTGATCTTTGTGAGTACTTTATATGTCCTGGACATCAACCCTTTATCTGATGAATACAGTGATTCTTAAGCATATCCTCTAACATGATTTTTACATCTTGAGCACCACTGAGGTGGCTCTGGTAATCTCCAGATTACCACTGTAATCTGCTCAGCAACACTGTATCTTTGGGCCCTAGACTTGAAATATCAGAACAGCTGACTATCACAGAGAGTGGCCCCCAGGTTACTTGTGCATTGCCTCTTTATTGTAGGGGAAAGCAATCATCTTTAAAAGAATAAAAAGGTTTTATCATGTATTGGGCCTGGAGATGTGGTGAAGACCTGCCTTGGCAGGCCTGAGGCCACAAGTTCAAACACAGGTACTACCATCAATGCCTAGTGCAGATCCCAAACTCACTGCCATCTGTGACCTCTAGCACCAAAACAATAAGTGATCTCTGGCTTACCACAACAAAGTGTGAGCACACAACACAATAAAAGCGAGTAACCACTGATGAGCACAATATCTATGTGTGCAAGCATCACACCAAAATAACAGAAGGAGAGAAAAAGAAAAATGAAACTTTGGGAAAAAAACGAGAAGAGGGGGAAAAAAGGCAGTGGGGAGAGGGAGAGAGATAGCTCAACAATCAGAGAATGTTCTTCGCATATAGAAGGCCCAGGTTCTATTCCTAGTACCATATGGACCCACAGGATGCCAGGAGCAACCTGGATGACTTGGATTTGATCTCTGATACCACATATGGTCCCTTGAGCCTACCAGGCGTGATCCCTGGGCACAGAGCCAGGTATGGTCAAAAAACAAACAGATTTTTTTTAATTAAAAAAAATTAAAAGCCAGCCAGATTCAAACTGACCCAATTTAACATCAGACTGATGATTCAATCAACCATAGAAAGAAAAATCGTCTGGGTAGGTACATATGTTAATTTAGGAAACATTTTCAGCAGCCATATAATTTCTGCTAGGAAACAAAGTAGAACTCAAATGAAAATAATTTAAATGCATTACTTACTTTTGCAAATAATTCCTGTTGTTGTCTCAATAACTCTTCCTCAGGAATGCCAAGGTTTTCCAAACGAGAACTTGCCTTTCTTCTTTTTAATGCTACCGTCTTGCATTCTTGTAAAACTTCTTTTACTTCACTGATGTAGGAGCCAAAGCCCAAACTTTCTAGTGCTAGAGAGATGAAAATATGAAACCATTCAAGATTAATAAAACATTAACTTTTCTCTTACATATAAAATATAAAGTGCTTGGAGATTGCTTTCAAATAATTTTACCTACTTCAGAGTTGGTAATATCTAAATGGCTAAGACACAATACTTATAGCTTGCAAACTAGTTAGAACTTAAGGAACTTTTCAAAGCATAGGATTCATTTTTCCTTTTCTCTCAGAAAAACATTTTAAAAACAGAAGAATTTCCTGTGAGGGAGAGAAAGTTTCATTCTAACAACATGTGGTTCTAGTAAGAAAACATTTTTTCCTATACCCTTCATAGTCAATTTCAACATCAGAATACATAAGCAATTATTTGTAATGTACTTATTAGTAACATCCATGCCTTCTGACTTGGAAGAAGCTCATAATACAAGCTCCAAGTTTCAACAGGAAAGGATACGAAAAACAGGTAAGGTGCTGACGAGAGAGTACAACAGGTAGAGCTCTTTCCTTGCACATGGCAGACCTGGTTTTGTTGCCTGGCATCCTATATAGTCCCCTGAGTACTGCCAGCAGTAGTTCCTGAGTGCAGAGTCAGAAATAACCTCTGAGCATTGTCAGGTATGGCACAAATATTAAGAGAAAAAAAAAAAAGAACAGATTAAGTTCTTCATATTCATAAAGTAACAAAATAGGAGACTAACACCCAAGAATAGCCGAGGTAAGTACCAGGAGGTTCACTCCATGGCTTGGAGGCCAGTCGTACATGCTAGGGGAAAAGGCAGCTCAGATAGAGAAGGGAGCACCAAATAAAGGGTGTTGGGAGGATCCTCCCAGGATGGGAGATGTATGCTGAAAGTAGACTATAGACAGAACATGATTGCCACTCAATGCCTCTTTTGCAAACCACAACACCCAAAAGGAGAGAGAGAACAAAAAGAAAAAAAAAATAAAAAGAACACAGAGGCAGGGTGGGCTGGGGGGAATGGGGGGTGGGAGGGATACTGGGATCAGTGGTGGTGAAAAATGGGCACTGGTGGAGGGATGGATACTTGATCATTGCATAATTGAAACCTAGGCCAAGCACAAAAATTTGTAAGTCTACAAGTGTACCTCATGGTGTTTCACTAATAAAAATTAAAAAAAAAAAAAAGGTAAGTTCTTTTGTCCACTTTACTAAGTAAAATTTTTTTAAATCAAAGAGAATTATAAAACCAAGCTTAAAAATATTGGGGAGGGGATCAAGAGACTATTAATACAGTGGATAAGTTACTTGCCTTGCATGTGGTCAACCCAGGTTCAATCCCTTGCACCCCATATGGTCCCCCGAACCCTGCTAGGAGTACTCCCTGGGCACTGTTGGGTGTTTCTCCAAAACAAAAATAAACAGAAAGACTGATGAGAGGCTGAGAGATAGCTTAATGGGTTGAATACATGTTTTGCACATTTGAGACAGGTTCAATTCTCACTATTCTCACTACTGCAAACCTTCTCTGAGTACCAGAGGGTCTGGCACCAAAATCAAAAAAAGAAAAATATGCTGGCAAAAAAAAACTTACAAGAATCAGTATTTATTTTTACTCACAAGTTTCTATTAAAAACAAAACTTTACAGAGGAAGAATAATAAAAGCATTTATAGTAGTACTGCAAGAAAGTAAAAAGAAAAAGACTGTAAGGATAGAAGCTAACAAAATAGTTAATTTTTTTCATCTTAAGAAAAGCTCTATAAAATATTTCATGGTCTAAATTGTGTTCCTATTGCTTTCCATGTAACCCAAGTCTCTCTCTTTCTTCCCACTTCCCTTCTTCATGGTAGCATATGTGCTGCCAGGGATGGAATCCAGACTGGCAGAACACAAGGTGAGTCCCACTTACTGTATTATCTGACACTTATTTTAAAATTTTCTATATGTTAGCTAATATTCCAAAACTATACTTTGTTTTCTAAGTCAGTAATAAAATATTGGTGGCAAAAAGCCACAATAAATCATTTTAATTCCGTTTATTGGTTCTTAAAGTCTTTCGCCAATTAATTATGATGAAATGGAGTAACCTATGGTCTGAATTCGCACCCCAGGGATATCCTCCTCAGGGAGAATACCATATAAACCCAAACAAATCTCATGTAAGGTATGGGTAAGATTTTGAATAATTTACAACTTTATTTCAAATATTCAGCTCTTTTCATCAACCTCTGAACATAAAGATTTCCAAAGGCATCAGTACTATTACTTTTTTTTTTCCTTTTGGGTCACACCCGGCTATGCACAGGGGTTACTCCTGGCTTTGCACTCAGGAATTACTCCTGGCAGTGCTTAGGGGACTACATGGGGTGCTGGGAATCAAACACGGGTTGGCCGAGTGCAATGCAAACGCCCTATCTGCTGTGCTATCACTCCAGCCCCCAGTACTATTACTTTTAAGAAAACAATCTACCTAATCCTTCCACAGTTTCAGAATGGCATCATTATAGCTCTTTTTTTTGGGGGGGAGGGGCCATACCTGGCATGCTCAGGGGTTACTCCTGGTGGTTCTGGGGATGGGGGCGGGGAGGATATATATAGGATGCAGGGGATCAAACCCAGGTAAGCCGTCTACAAGGCAAGAGCCTTACTCACTATACTATCACTCTAGCACCCCCACTATTATATTTTTGCACTTCAAATTCTCCCCTCTCCCTTTCCCTCTGCCCCTTCTCCTCCTACCCAAAAGCTTATTCCTGACTTCTTGCTCAGAGATTATTTATGGAGGGGGTAGGGGAACCATGTGATGCTGGGGGACTGTACCTGGGTTCGTCTCCTACAAAGCAAGTGCCTTACCTGCTTTACTATCACTCCCCGGTTTTTCTTTTTGAAGGCACAGTTATAATACTATACTCATTACTGACTGGAGACAATGTCAAATAAACAATGCAAACAAAAAACATGCAAATATAGTTCATCACCAAAATCAAAAGAAAATTGCTTTCCTTAGTCCTATTCCAAGGTCCTCTAGTATCTAGCCTTTCCAGCTTTGCTTATACAATTCAAGTCTTTATATCTGATTGCTCAATGTTTTCCAACAGGTACCAGTTTCCCACATTCATGCTGAGGATAATATATTCAAGGTCAGATCAAACTCCATCTTCAAGTTAAACCTGTCTGATCCTCCCAGACTGTAGCAATCCCCCACTCCCCAAATCTACAATCAGATAAATGTGTAATTTGAAACTTGGTTACAAATGCATTTATATCACCTTGAACATGTAGTTTAATATCTACCTTTACATTTCTAAAGTGAGAAAAGCATATTCTTTCAAATCCTCCTACAATCAGAAGCTGTATAGTGATAATACCTATAAGGAACTAAGGTTGTCAGGAATTAACCCCCCCAGCTCTGACTCTTATTTGCTATGTGAGCTGTGTGACATTAAATTTCTTTATCTAAAACAAGAATAATATTTAAAACACATCTTCTATGATTAGGCTGCTATGAAGAAAAAATGAGAATAGAGCTTGGAACAGATGCCTGCCCAAAGAAAGAGCAAAATTAAATATTCATTATTTTGCTTTTCCTATTGAGATTTTGCTCCCATATATCGAGAAAATATCATGAAGTTAGTCATATGGAGACGGATAGATATAGAATGATCTCTCTCATATGTGAGATTATATCATAGGAATTATATTATATTATTAATTAATTATTAATATTATTAATATTATTATATCAAAGAAATCACAGAATAAGAAATGCCCAAAGGCTACAGAAACAAAGAGCATGAAAACTGATTTCTAATAGGAAGTTTGCCACTAATGGTGTGGGGAGAGGGGGAGGAGGAAGAGAAAGGTTAGGGAAGGGTAAAATAAAACATTGGTGGAGGGAAGTGGTCACTCTGGAGAAGAATGGAATGCTGAAAGGAGGTATAAAGTATCTACCATTGAGGCAGGCTAGTGGGTAGGAAGGTAAGTGGAGACATTGGCAGGGGAAAGTAGACAATGGTAAAGGGATTGGTATTGGAACATCATACCTAAATAACTTAGTAATGTTTTAATTCATTGTGATTTAATTTAAAAAGAGGGTTGTAGGAATCAACAAGTAATAAATTTAAGGCATTTAACACTGACTAGCACATGACTCCCATGACTGATTTAGAATGTTATTATTTCTCTTACATTTAATTTTTTTTATTAATTGGAGCAAGGGTTTAAGAGTCACACCCAGCAGTGCTTAGGGGTCATTCCTGACTGTTCTCAGAGGTGTCTCCTGGTGATGCCTGGGGGATGAAACTAAATCAGCACCTTAAGGTAAGCACCTTAACCCCTGTGACTATCTTTAAAAAAAAAATTATTAGTGAAACACCATGAGGTACAGTTGTAGATTTACAAATTTTTGTGCTTGGGTTTCAATTATACAATGATCAAATACCCATCCCTCCACCAGTGCCCATTTTCCACCACCACGGGTCCCAGTATCCCTCCCACCCCCCATCCTCCCACCCCACCCTGCCTCTGTGGCAGGGCATTCCCTTTTGTTCTCTCTCTAGAAAGAGAGGGATAGACATAGAAAGATTGCATTCATCTGGGGAACACAAAGTAACAAAATAGGAGACTAACACCCAAGAGTGGCCGAGATTAGTACCAGGAGTTTTGCTCCATGATTTGGAGGCCAGCCAAACATTCTAGGGGAAAAGGGAGCTCAGATGGAGAAGGGAGCACCAAATAAAGGGTGTTGGGAGGATCCTCCCAGGATGGGAGATGCATGCTGAAAGTAGACCACAGACCAAACATGACTGCCACTCAATGCCTCTTTTGCAAATTCCTGTAACTATCTTTTTGACTCCTCTAACATTTTTTTAAAAAGGATTACTCTAGGGGCTAGAGTAATAGCACAGTGGGTAGGGCGTCTGCCTTGAATTCGGCCAATCCGGGTTTGATTCCCAGCATCCCATATGGTCCCCAGAGCACCACCAGGAGTAATTCCTGAGTGCATGAGCAAGGAGTAACCCCTGTGCAATGCTGGTGCAACCCAAGAAGT